ACTCTGATGGCAGAAAGTGAGGAGGAATTAAAGAACCTTGTAATGAGGTTGATAGAGGAGAGTGCAAAAAACGGCCTGAAACTCAACATGAAAAAAACTAAGATCATGGCCACTGGTCCCATCACCTCCTGGGAAATTGAAGGGGAAGATATGGAGGCAGTGACATTTTACTTTCTTGGGCTTCATGATCACTGCAGATGGAGACAGCAGCCATGAAATTAAAAGACGCCTGCTTCTTGGGAGGAAAGCAATGGGAGGAAAGCAACCTTGACAGCATCTTAAAAAACAGAGACATCACCTTGCCAACAAAAGTCCGAATAGTCAAAGCTATGGTCTTTCTTGTTGTGATGTATGGAAGTGAGAGCTGGACCAAAAAGAAAGCAGACCGCCGAAGAATTGATGCCTTTGAATTGTGCTGGAGGAGGCTCTTGAGAATCCCCTGGACTGCAAGGAGAACAAACCTATCAATTCTAAAGGAAATCAACCCTGAGTGCTCACTGGAAGGACAGATCCTGAAGCTGAGGCTCCAGTACTTTGGCCATCTCATGAGAAGAGAAGACTCCTTGGAAAAGACCTTGATATGAGGAAAGTGTGACGGCAAGAGGAGAAGGGGACGACAGAGGATGAGATGGCTGGACACTGTTTGCGAAGCAACCAACATGAAATTGTCACAACTCCGGGAGGCAGTGGAAGATAGGAGGGCCTGGCGTGCTCTGGTCCATGGGGTTACGAAGAGTCGGACACGACTAAACGTCGACGATGTTACACAATGTAACAACAAAAAATAACGTGAATTTGCTTCAGTATCACTTGTGGATTACAATCAATCTTCTAAGATACCTAACAATCTTATCTCCAAAGGAGGTTAAGTGGGATTTTTTTTCATACTGCACTTATTATCTGACTTCTCTACTAACTGAATGTATGTAAAATCAGAAATAATGGTTTTATGAAAAGACATTGGTGATATAATTTTACTGCCGATCCTTTCCATATTTTTCTCTTGAGCTCGCTGTCCATAGCTCTCACACTCCTGCCCCAAGGAAACCATGCATGCTGTATGAATATCTGCAGTTTCCAATAACATTTCATGTTATCTGGAGTTCATGTAAGCTTACAGATATACAACACTGGCCAGAAGGAGAAAAATTCATTTTACTCCCAAATCAGAAATGTTCCAGTCTATTGCTGCTTCCTTCTGTGTCTGCTTTCAGAGCTGGGAAGTTGGCTTGTCCATACATATTCACAAAGTTATTCCCTGTCCCATAAACAGAGACACTAAAAAGAAGTTGAGAGTTCAACAGAAGGGAAACACAGGTAGGGCCTTGACCTGTCACCTCTGGTTAGGACTGGAGGCAATAAGGACTGAGCTGGCTGATGGTAGCGTAAGTCTGATGTGGCACACCATAATGGACCATGCTGCACTACTCAATATCAATGAGGGAGGAAAAATTTTGTCTTGCATTCTCTTTCAGGACATATTTCTAGGAGTCCGTGTAGCTCTATACTCCCACTGTTGTCTTTATGTAAAAGATTCTACTGTATTGTCTGATGGGTTCTCTGTGCAATTGTTGTTTGTATTAGATACCCTGCTAACTAAAAAAGGAATTAACTAAATTCTCCAGCCCTATATGGTATAAAACTTCTGATCCGATGGCCATTAACCATCATTCTGTTTGTTTCAACTACAGACTTGATCATGTTAATTTTATTTAATAGTAAAGAACCATATTAATAGTGAAAACATCAATGTGAAACAAAAAACCCTGAAATGCATATTAAAATTGTGTCAGTGCAAACACAATACATCATCCCTTCCTTTATAATACTATGCTTTGTCTTATACAAATATTAGACAAAGCATAATATTATAGAGGAAGGGATGGTGTATTGTGTTTGTTCTGACACAGCATATAAAAAGACTTAGAAAAAACGTAGATAAGCTAGCTCTTTGGAGACTAATCATCCTCATCCTCATCCTCATCCTCTTCCAGTTCTTCCATTTCTTCAGCTGCCAGTGCCTCCTCTTGTGCAGCCTTGAGGGCAAGTTCTTCTTCTACAGTTGGGTCGGTTGTTTCTGCGATTTCGGGTCCACTAGGGTATTCACTCTGCACTGGAGGTGGTAATGGAGGGCTGTAATTATCTGGACTGTATTTGTGACCCCAGCCAATGTAGATATTATCAAATCTCCTAGAAGAAGGAAAGAAAGAAAATATCATAAAATTTACTGAAAGGAGAGGAAAAAATCAGTTCTCTGTTTGCTGCTGTATTTGTACATGAAAGTGAAAAAAGTGATTTGTCTGGTTTGTTACATTTGAAGCATTCCACAATTATGAAAAAAAAAAAACCTGGCCAGAATCCTATTAGCAGTCATGGAGCACCACTGCTCTGCAGATAGATACTCCATGATTGCTCCAGAAATTCTGGTTTGTAGCTACACAAGCTGTTGATCACTCCATTAAAAGCAGGCCTTATACAGTATGTGCACAAGGGGGTAGTGTTGCCATACTGGCCAGGTTTATACAAAATCCCTGCAGATTCTTACTTTTGCCAAGTCATGTATGTGTACTGTTCTAACTGGAAAACTTGTCTGGCCAAGGGGGAGTATAGCTTTAAAACAGTGGCTGTGTAGAAGTAGCCTCTGGTCTCAAATGAATCACTCCCAAGAGGAAATGAGAGGAATATAACCCCTATCAAAATTACACAGAAGACATGAATACCCTAGCCACAGAGTTATCTCAGAGGGTAGGCCTCTTGCAAAAGAGGCCATAGAGACTGGATCACCTTTTGTTTTTCCATTGCAAGATTGGTCTGCCCTTATTATTATTATGAATTGTCCATGGACCATCAGAGAAGATTAGCCATGCAGATTATTAGGGTAGAACAGGACACATGAATAACACTATAGTCAGCCTGACCAGGAACCAGATTTTTTTTTAAAAAAAACCATATAGTAACCATATTAATTTATAAGGGAAGGTTCTGAGTTGAATGTTCTGGGGTGAATCTTCTTTCTGTGTCTATCTTTGCTGTTTATCCTTTCCAGGCCTCTTTGTGCTGACTTTATTTCTGAGCGGAAATCACTATCTGAGCTCCTCAGAATCTAGGATTTAGCCAGACAGTCTTGCTAGTTTATTTCATTCTTCTGAATTCCTGGCTTCTGGCCTAGGACCTCTCTTAGTTTGTCCTCTCTTGGGATCCTTATCCAATAATCCCTTTGCACTGTTCCTGCTGGAATTCCAATTCTCCCAGCTCCCAGACAGTCAAACAAGACTAAGGAGAGGTAATTTTTCCCTCCCTTAATCTATTTCCTTGGAATATTTTCCCCATACGTTGGTGGCTCCCCAGTCTATCTCCACAGTCAAACAAGACTAAGGAGAGGTAATTTTCCCTCTCCTAATCTGTTTCCTTGGAGTATTTTCCCCATACATTGGTGGCTCCCCAGTTTCATGGGTTTGTGTGTGGTTCAGCGAAAGAGCTTTCTTTCTTCTTTTTATCCTTGTAGCATCTGTACAAAGAATTTGCTTAGGTAGTACAGACCTTTGCAGTAGCAGCCTGTATCTCAAAACTCTCTCAGCCATGCTGGCTTGCTTCATTTGAGTATCTTTCTCCATATTAATTATATACTTTATTGTGAATCTTTGCTTTATTTTAATTCTTCTGTGTTCCAAAAAAAATTAATCTCCTTGTGAATGGCTCTGTGTGAGTGTGATATACTCAGGCCAGGTTGTGTTAAGATGTACTATTGCTATGATTTGAAGACCCCTTATCTATCTGAACATGTGTGAGTTCATACGTGTGATCTGAGCGCATACCTGGTAACAAGATCTTAATAAAAATAGAGATGATCAAGACGGCCTACCTTCCAATAGCAAAGGCATATGCTCCAGGCCACAAGTTAGCTTGAAGAACTGCAAGGGCATACTGAGGAATTAAATTTGTTGATGCCTCAGCTGACCATGGAGGAATGTTCTGAATGTCTGTTTAAGGAACAAAATTATTTTGTGTTATTTGAGAAATATTTGGTTAGAAAGTAAGATTTCTTGCCTGCGCAATGGTATTATTTAATGACCAACCACACAACCTAATTTTAAAATTAATTTATTCTGAATGACAAACGACAACAGGATCCCAATGCAAAATATGCTTCTGAATTTGTGAGAGTTTTCTGCTGAAAAAACACACAGCCTCTTCCCCCACACTGTTATTTGTTTCCAGAGATGTTCTTTGTATTTACCTTCAAAGGCAAATAACAGCCAGACACAGGAGAAGCACATTCCAGTTTAGACACCTTGCAGCTACTTTTTCTTAAAATAAAACTGGTCACTTTAACCACTTTTTAAAGAAACGTGGTATAACCTGTAGTTTGAATTTAAATTCCAGTGTTGAGCAATGATGTTCAGAGGAACAAGCAAGAATGTAGGAGCAGTCAACACAAGGAACACTTAGGTAACAGCAGGTAGAGGTAGTAGTAGTAGTAGTTATTTTAAATGTGAAAGCAAGAAAAGACAGAAAGGTGAGCAAGAACATAAAACATAAAAGGTTCTTTGATGATAATTCAGAATACAGTACATAGTTTAGAATTAACAAATTCAACAGCCAAACCACAAACTGTAGCCCTAAGCTGAAATATATTCCTGTTGTTCCACCAGTAACTCAACCATCCTACTTAAAATCAAGATGGTGAGTTGATTCATTTTAATAAAACCATACACTTCATTATCTGTAATCCCATATAAGCATTTCTTTGTCCTAATGGGGAAAGTTTTCTTGTTCAATCTGTTTGTAAAGGGGGGGGGGAATGGCTCAGTCATGTGTGGTCTCCGCTCTAGTACCTGCATCTTCAGATAGTGGTGTGAGAAGTGGAGGTCCAACTTCTTGAGACTCCTCTTGTTCATCCGGTTTCTCTTCCTCCTCATCTTCTTCCTCCTCCTCCTCTGATTTCTGAAAGGGATTAACCCAGGTGCAGCGCCCCTATACCCAAAGAACCAAGGGTTACTAGGGAACACTGATGAGAATTCAGTTACACACTCAAGCAATATTCCTTTGTCTACTCTATAAGAAGCCATACTTGATGGGGATCTTGTAAGAAAAGGAAGGAACAGAGGAAATAAGTAACTAATACTCAACAGGCTGTTTTTTAAGAACTCTTACTTAGGTTTTGTATGTGTGTATGAGAGAAAAAGAGTCAACATTCCACCATTTCCAAAGGCCTGCTGGCTTGACTGAGGCCAGTGAAGGGATGAGGGTTCCTATTATTTTCCCAGTAGAAAAGCTAGTGAGTCCTAATCTGAGACCATGATGCAAGACTGAGAGTACTATTTTAATTATAGCATGAGCATTCCTGGACAGACAACCCTTTTCAGATGAAGTAATTCTGTATCTTCTGCATCTGAGGAAGTGGGTTGTGTCTTCACAAAGTTCATGGAATAATAAATCTATTTGACTTAGTGGTGCCGCCTGATACTCGTTATCTTTTGCATTAAGGCTCTGGTTGGTAGCTCTCCAGATTCTCCAGAAAAATTCTGTGACAGCAGCAAAATGTCTTGGGCTGGCTGTTTAGGAAAGTAGCACAATGGAGATATACCAGGGGCAGATAAATCCTGATAATATAATTTTTGGGGTTTTTTTTTGAATTGTTATGGAATTGTTTTCAATTACTTTTGAAGTGTTTCAAATTGTATTAGATTATTTTAATTGTACACTACCCTGAGAGCTGTTGATACAGGATAGCCTAGAAATATTTTAATAAGTAAAATATATAAGGCCCTGCTTTCTTACTATTCTGTAGTCTACTCTGCTTGCATGGGTGCAGGATTTTTATGGCATTTAAGGCCTGCTATTCACAGAATGAGACCAAAAGTAATAAAACTCTCAATTTTTGACCACTCCTGAGAACACAGAGATGATCTCAAAGAAGATATTTTCAGTGGAAGAGCAGGGAGAAAGCACACCAAATACAGTGGTGCCTTGCTTAACGAGCGCTTTATTTAACGATGAATACGCTTAGCAATACTTTTTCAGATCGTTTTTGCGCTCCGTTTAACGGGTGATTTTCGCTTAGCGATTTTGGGACCATGCTTTGCATAACGATTAAATTTTGGGGTCCCCTGTTTCGCTTAACGATGGTTTAAACAGCCTCATGTTTGCTGTTTTTTAAATGTTATAAAGTTAAAGTTTACTGTTTAAAATGTTTGAAATCATAAAGTGCACTTAATAAACCCTTTGTTAACCAAATTTGACTTTGTTATGACTGTTTTTAATTTGTTGTTGAATTTCCCCCCCATTGAGATGCATTGAATAGGTTTCAATGCATTTCAATTGGGGAACCACGTTTCGCTTAGCGATGTTTCCTATGGCGATTTTCGCTTAAGGATGGCAAATCGTTCCTATTGGAATGGATTATCCGGTTTTCAATGCATTTCAATGGGAAACTGCGCTTCGCTTAGCGATGTTTTCACTTAGCGACGAATTTTTTGGAACCAATTAAAATCGTTAAGCGAGGAACCACTGTATGGTCGAAAATGATAGCCAATGCTTCTGCATCTGGGCAAGGAAGAAACAATATATGCAACACTATTTTCATTCTGAGAGACTTTGAAGCATTCTGAGATCAATATACATTTTACTACGCATACCTGCATTAGAATATTCTGCACATGGTGCACCCAGTTGGAAAGAGAGTCCACCATTTCTAACACAGAAATAGGTTCAAAGTCAGGATTCTCTTCATATGTGTCTCTTCCAGCTCCTCCTTCCTCCTCTTCATCCCCCTCTTCTTCTCCAAACTGATAAAAGCCCAACGGACTGATCTGGGTTGCTGCCGAAATGCGAGCGATCTGTGCCCGCAGGTAATTGGATTCGTTGCCTGGGAAAGGTGGGTAGCTGACAATGGGAGCATCCAGCTTCCCAGTGAAGAACTTCTTGATTTTCCTGGCATTAACTATGTGTGCAGGGGTCACTGGGGGTAATCTGACCCAGGGTTTTCCAGGTTCATTGCAAACAAAATAAGTATATTTATTAGCACCAGTCCGATTTTCTTCTTTTGGTATTACTGGTGGTGGCTTGTAGTTGGGCTTTGGTGGCTCATCTTTTTCCTCGTCTTCATCTTCCTCTTCATCCCTGACTTCACTCCCCTCTTTCAACCCCTCCTCAATTATTTCTTCCTCCTCCACTTCTTCCTCCTCCTCTCCCTCACGGAACTCCACTTCAGCTACAATGTAGTTTGCTTCAACGCCTAGGATTTTGCCCCAGAAGCGACAGGTTTGGATAGGATGTGTGGTGACCAACTGCTTGAGGGCAAGGAATATATGGTAATACTCTTCCAAGCTCAAACCGATTCCAGCTTGTTCAAAATAGAAGGCTGTCTCCATTACATTGGGTAGAGGAGTTTCTGGCTGAAGAAAAATGCCTGAATTAGATGGTTATATCCTTCCAATAAAAAAACACATTTACTCAAATGAACTTTAAACATATGCTTTAGAGTATTTTGATTTTTGTGCCTATGTGCAAACCACTTATATGCACTCAGTTTAATGAGATTTAGTCCCAGGAAGTACACACAAGATTGCACTGTTCAGTTGAGTTAATTTTTCTGAACTATTTAAGAAATGGGTTTAAGAAATAAATATGTTTTAGAGTATGATGAACCTAACCTAGATTCAACTAGAATCTAAATTAGTTCTATTCTGTATGAATGAGCCTATTGCCCTGAAGCAAGTTTAGTTAAGCAGTTCCACACCAAGAATTTTTTTACAAAGAGGATGTACAGTATTGGATTCAGGAGTTTAGTGCCCCTGTAAGATTGAAAATAAAACTGGATTTAAAAGCAATGTAGAGAAGACTGAAGAAACAGAATGAAAGAGAAAAATAAATGTGACATTTAAACATGATATGCATGGCTTATGATCAGTTATTGTAGTACAGTACGTAGTTTTAGATTCAAGATGTACATATTCCGTAAATAATAATACCAGGATTTTATGTGATGGAACTATGGCAGTTAAATTGGTATGAAACTGTTATAACGGTGTAGTGGATATATGCACCTTGTCTTCTACAGTAAGAGAGCATTTGACAATAATCCAATAGAAATAATCTTTCAGATGGTATGCAAAGATGTAGAAGGTAAGATAAGATGAAGAGGTCTGTCTGAATCTTGACTCAGAACTTTATTACAAGCTTTGTAAGAAGCCTGTAGAAAAAGGTGGGCAAAGGGTGGCCTTCCAAAACTTGTTAGACCACAATTCCCATCTGACCTTACTAGCAAAGCCAGTATTCAGGAATACTGTACTGGGAGCTTTAATCCAACTCTGACAACATCTGAAGGACCACTCTTTAACCATTTGTGTGGCAAAGCAAGAATCTCTTTCCTCTGAACATTTTGAGAACTAATTAAGGTCTTTTAATTTGGGCTGAGTTATTGAATATGCATATCAATACAGTCTTTGTAGACATTTACCATATCTGATATATAATATTAGCAAACCATTCTTTCTGTATGGATCTTTATGTAGCCAAAATGGCATCACCCACACACATCCACACTTGGCACTCTCAAGAAAAGAACCTCAAAATATCTAAAAAAGTATTTAAAAAGAGTCTTTAGGAAAAAGTCCAAGGATAAAAGAGATTTCAGCAAAATACGAACTCTTGTGGGGAGGGAAGAGATAAGTATCTTGGAAAAAATATGATTGGCTTGAATCCTGAATAAAAGCATTCTACATACAGTACATTTTGTTGCAGATTCCAATTCTACATACCAAGAGCAAACCCTGATGGCCAAATGTCTATAAATTTTCAAAGAAAGTGGGACCAGCAAAATAAGTATACTGAAGATAATAGAGAAATACGATGCAATTGGTTTGCTAAATTTTCTTAAGAACTCTGAACTGGTCATACAATGTATTTTCCAGCTTACAGAAACTCACCGCCTCTTCTTCTAGATCTTGCTCTGTTCCATCTCCACCACCCTTCTGGAAAAGTGTCTTATACATTTCAGCCAGCTCAAATGTTGGATGTTTCTCATACTCATCTCGTAGAGTGTCCAGTTTCTTCTGGAACCGAGCACATTTCACATCCTTACTAATGTTCTCAATTATATCAGCTGGGTTTTCAGGCCGTTCATCCAGAATCTTGGCCAACATTTCAGCAAGATGATCATACCTATGAAATTAGGGAAAGAGATCCCCCTCCCCAAAGGAGACACATTATTGGCTTACTGTTTTATATGTTCAACAGAGCTAGTTTTTCATCATTACTTTGAATATGAAAAACCACAATGGATTATCAGCATTTGTGATAGTGGGAAGGGCTGAAACAGTTATCCTTTGAGCTATTGTAAAGAAATCACAATCTCAGGATTTCAAGTTCAGGTGGTTAGAGCTAGCCAGGTGGGTTGGTGGAAGCAAATTTTCATGGTCTTTCCCAGCAACATCCTCCCCAGCTCCCCAAAACTAGAGGGAAGCATCTTCCATCAGTAGAAATCTTCTCTTTCCCCTACACCACAGTCTACCATATCCAAGGCTACCCAGCTTTCTCTGGAACATTTTCAGAAGCTTGGAGGGGATGTTTTCGGTGGGAGTGTGTAGATCTTCCATTTGCATCTGGCTAAATCTGGATCCAAATTACTATTACTCAGTTGCTCAGAAAAGGGCATTTCCCATCCTTGTTAGTGTCCCTATTGTTCTTATCAGTCTCCTATGGAATATATTGGTTTCAAAGCATATATGGGATAATGCCCACATTATCACTACAATTAAATGACCTTGGTTTTCTGCCTGTGCCTCTTGTCACTTTGTCAGTTTTCAAGTCACTTGGTCATTTTTTCTGTTATTGATACAATTTCTGGAAGCTGGATGTTCCATTCTACTTAAGTCCTTTACTATGATAGACATGTATAATGAGGGTTGATGTTATCATTTGAAAAATGGGAGGAAGAATTTCTCTATTACTGTATTATGTTATGTCATTTTAGGAACCATTATGTTACCGTTTTTTAAAAATAAATAAGATAAGCATGTTAAAGTGGATGTGAAAAAATGGCACAGGAAATCTGGGATTCTGTACCCGCAGTGGCAAACCAATATTGTGAGATACTCACAACCAGGATGTAAATGAAATAGTATCCTCCCACTTGTTTTTCCAAGCAACTGGCATACAAAGCCTAAAGGTAATACACAAGCAGTACAAGTCACCACTGATAACCTGGTCCTCCATGGTTTTGTCTTTGTGATCTTTTCCCTGCAGTGAATACATAGTTAGCAATTATGTTTCATTTATTTTGGTTGACTTTTTAAAAAATGAATTATTGCACAATCCTCTATCTGTTTGTATGAACGTGGCTTACTATATTCAGTGTGGATTTTTAATTCCAGGTAAGTGTGCAGAGGACAGAGCTTATAAATTCCACCTACTCAACAGAAAGTATATTCTACCTGTGACAAGACAGCTCCCTTCCCACTACATATATTGAACTATATATCATTTCCCACCCCTTGTCAAGGCCGTCGTAAATATTTAAACACAGCTCATACAGGCTTTGAGTGGAGTTGTTTCTGCATAGATGTCTGCCAGTATGACAAATAATTGTGCTGCTGTTCTCTTTTCCCCTCCTTAACATTTTTTGTAGTGAGAACAAAGATGAAAGAATCTGTAGGGGGACACCGGAGGACTACAAATGGAAGACAGTGGTCTGGATACCCGGTAACGTTTTGTGAATGAGGCAGCACAGCTGCGCAATCAGAGCTGTTTCTGGAAGCACCACACAAGGTCTATATAAATGGTGCCTCATTCTATGGAAATCTGGTAAACTTGTATGTCTGCAGTGTAATGCTGAAGAGTCCTTTTGCTTGCCATGCTGGGTGTGAATTCTGTACTAGTTAAAAAAATAAAGTTGAATTAAAAGTTCTGCATTATGTATTCAATTTTGACATAATTTATGCAAGTGCCCAGTTACACATGCATCTTTCTTTAGTCATTCGTCTTATTTCTGCCTCTACTCACAAGCTCACTCCCGTTTTGACACTTGTCTTCAAAAGGTAGGCTTTTGCATTCTTTATGGCCAGCGCCCTGGGTCCTGGATCTGGGATCTGATCTTCATACAAGTTGACTCCCACTTGATAAAGGCCATAGCCAGGTTCGTGAGGTTGATAGGGCCCATGCCCTCCAGGATCTGACTGCAGAATTTGGCTACTTCTTGTTGCCATGGGGCCATGGAAGCTGCCTCTGGGTCCTGACGGCAGCATGTGCTCTGGTGGCAAGTGTGCACCACTTCCTGTGGCATTGTGAGGAATGGTCCCTCCGGCCATGGGCTGCTGCCAAGAAACACCGCTCCTGGGGTCTGGGATGCCAGGCCTTGTTTGGAAAAGGGCTCCTCTCGCTTGAGGAGGTTGATACAGGGCGCCTCTCCCTTCTTGCTGCTCATAGATGCTCAGTCTCGGTTGCTCAGGCTGGTAGATGCTCCCCCTTGGTCGTCCTGGCTCCAGTGGCTCCTCGGATTCATTTTGACCTAGGATGCCTGGATCTTGCTCAGCAAATACCCAACTGCCTTGGCTTGGAGGGCCCTGACTGGGCTGCTCAGGGTTCTCCCCACTCTCGGGTGCTGGGGGTTCTCCAGGGGGCTCAGCCATGGAGCTGGGCCACCAGGGTTGGGGCACAGGCAGAAAGGCAAAGGAAAGTGTCTGTAGCTCTCCTTTCCTCTGCCGGTGGCTTTTACTTCTCTCTTTTTTACAGCAATGGCTCCCAGCAGCAGCTGTAGCGGCGTTGCTAAGGTAAACCGGGCACCGTTGCTAGGGGGAGCGGATTGGCTGCCGCGCTCCAGGCTCAGCTCGAGGAGGAGGCATCCGGGAACCACATCCCAGAGCCCAGCCGTTGCCGTAGTGATGGGGGGGGCGGCGGCGGCGGCTGGGGCAGGGAGGCCCGCCTTGCTCCCGACTGCCCCGCAAACCCAGAGCTTGCCAAGGGGGGGGGGGCGGCGGCGAGGTCCGCCTTGCTTCCAGCGGCTGCCCCGCACAGCCCGTCGCTTCTTTAGGGAGAAGGGGAGGGCACTTTGTCTCTTTCAGCTCAGAAGGCAAACCCAGAGCTTGCCGAAGTCACGCCGTTGGACTACAACTCCCACAATCCCCCGAGCCAGCGCAACGGATTCTGGGAGTTGTAGTGAGCAACGTAGCTTTCCCCTAAGGCTGGAACGAAATACAGTACCATGTTCTAGGGGTGGGAAAAACTGGAGCCACTCTTTTGAGGCAATTCAGTTTGTCTGGGTTTGTGCCCTTTCCTTCCTTCTCTCTCTGTACCTCCAAATCGTGAATGGGGAAGGGCCGCCCTCCTCATTATTGGGGATACTTCCCCTAAGACACTCACCCCTGCACTATCCACGAGGTGTTCTGCCCTGCCTACAAACAAGGCATATTTGGAAGCATGCTAGATGAGAACCACTCTAAAGATCACAAAAGAACGGGGAACGTAGTTGGTCTTGATGATTAAAATATATATACACAATTCAAAATTGGCCTGTGCATGCATTCTTGTATGCATATCTCACTGAACTGAGAAGCTTATTTACCATTAAGTATGCTTTTAGATGACCTAAGCAGCAACTCTCTCTACACCTGAAAGTCTGTACCTTTTTGAATTATTGTGCTTGGAGCTGGGATGTATACATCATGTTGGTTTCAAATGGAGAGAATTTCCCATTTACACTAGTAAGTCTTTCATTTTGGTTTTCTTGTTTTGAGTGTTCTGGACTCTCAAGAGAGAGGAGAGTTCAAATTTTACTTCTCACAAATTTGCTCCTGTGCCCTCTGACAGTTCAGAATGTGTTTTAAATCTGAGCTAGTATAACAGACAATTCTATATTGCTTCTCTGTTTACTGCAGCTCATATGATTTGGGAGGAACCTAGACTTTCTACCAGCACCAGCACCTCCTGGAGTATGGACACACAAGAATATTAAAGTGCCACAATATTCTTGTTTATTATTGGTCCATGACTATGTCTTAGGAACATTGGCTCCTTCCCCTTATTATAAATGCCCTTTCTCCTTGTGCTAGTCTAAAGCATTCTGTGCTACTGTGATTTGCACTACCATGTTTGATGGGACCTCAGGTTTAAATACTGTATCCAGTGTTGCCCCTACTCAAGCAGACGTCAGCTCAGTAACTGGGAAAACAGATTTCTTCTACTGGATGATAAAGAGCTTACTTTAAATTTGTCCTGGCCCTTTAGCCTATTTTCCCCACAGGATATCTTGCGGTCTACAAAAACCATTGTCTAGTCTAGGATCACAATCCTACTGGGAAAGTATTGTTTCATTGTTAAGTGCTAACTGGGGACAAGACCTTCAAATCTCTTTACAACCATTGAGTCATCTTGAGACTGCATATTCTGGAAATAAAATTCTTTTGCTTGAAGGTCATGAAATCTCCTGCAGACCATGATACTGCCTGGGCAATAAAGTTAAATAGAGTTTTAAATTGGTGCTTAGCAGTGACTCTATTGAAAATCATTTTCAGTCTATAACAAGGCATTTAATTCATTAACTGCCAGATTGGATATTCAGATTTGTCAGTAAAGAGTGGGAGGAATTGCTCATAAATCCCACGTATTAGACATTATGCACCTAATGCAGGGGTCGGTAACGTTGGTATGTCCAGGAGGACATTTTTTAAAAAAACACCCATAATACTTCAGGGGCTGCAGAAAATGTTACCAAAATGCAAAACCCAGGTGTAACTTGTATGAGAATTGTAGTATACGTCTGCTCATTCTCCTGATGTACTGTATTCAAGAAAAAACATTATAAGCCCAAGCAAGCAATAAATAAGAAGAGTACCAACTATCTCAGTAAAGGGAACATTGGAGTGGTGTTGTAGACTTCTGCCAGATCTCAGAGAAGTTGCTCTTCATTCTATAACTCTGAAAATCTCTAAAGTGGCATGGTCAGTAAAATTCTGGAAGCTGAAGTTGGAAAAGGTAACTTTTAAAGTTCTGGTTTATCTGAGTGGTCCTCACCCGACCAGATAGGCGGGATATAAATTAAATAAATAAATAAATAAATAAATAATTGCCAGCAGGGCTTTAAGTATAATAAAAAGAAACCTACAAGCCAGCTACCACAATGCTTGATGGATAAACATACTTGAAAGTTATAGGAAGTAAAATGTAATTTGAGAATACCGCAGAGTGAGGCAAAGCGAAAACAGTGGTTTAAGATTTCCAGTGGGTTAGACTATGATACTATTTAATCTCATGGATTTCTTATTGGTAGAATTACCTGACAACCCAAAGCCATTGTTTTCGATGAGCACAAAACTGTTAGTTGTGTAACTGCAATGTATTATTGTTATGATTGTATTTCTACCTAGATAGAGACACTTATGGGGTTTCCTGTCTTGGATACCACAAAATAGTGTGGTTATCCTTGAGCACATTTGAGCTTGTTGTTTCTGAGGTGGTGCATCAGCTGCTGTTCTGCCTCAGGCAGCAAAACAGTTTGGGCTGGTGTTGTAATCTCACGGTTAATGCTTACATACTGTCTAGTTGATTCTTATTTACGGCAACTGTCTGCAGGATTTTGTAGGTATAAAATACTCAGAAGTGGTTTGGCATTCCCTTCTTAAGGGGCTGTGGGATTGTGTTGCTTGATGAAGAACAAACAGTTTGGCTCTTTTCCTACAAGGCACAGTGGGGAATAAAAATCCTAATCCAGGTCCCCTAACTCACTGAGCTGGAATTGAGCCGGACATCTGTTAGGCAATAAAGCTGTTATACTGCTGATGAAGAACAAGAGCCAGAGTTAAGAACTGCATCCCCAAAGTCCCATGGAATTTAATGAGAAAGGGAGAAGCACATGCATCACTCTTTGACTGTGGTTAGTGGGAATTAAAAGTGCCTAACCTGTTGCAGTTTAGCTGGTAGCTTGCCTCAATCCTCAGGAGAAGGATTTAGCTTTCTAAAGTACCTTATGTGATTTTCACATCCGCCTACTTTTGCAGAATAATGCCCATAGTAAAATATATACCTGGTAATTATGACAATGAAATGTTTATTTCCTTTCATTTCCACATGTAGGCACAGTAGGTTGCTATCTGATTTAATTAACATGCAGGGAATTTATTAAAAGGAATGTGTTTCCAGTGGTATCACCATGAGAAGACTTGAGGACTGAAGGATATCGAGCAGGATAACGAGGAAGGCACTCAGAGCAATAAGGCTAATTTACAAAGTCATGCAGTGATAGAGACAATACAGATTATCATTTAAAGAGGGGATCTTGCAAAATCATTTAGTCCAGAATCTAACACCATCTAACTGCACCACTGCATATTCCCATTTTTGCATTTAAAGAAAACTGTAAACATATTTCCATTAGAACAATCTTTTGTTAACCCTCTTGTTCCTACCAGCTAGCATAAGAAAAGTGCTAGATACATGTATGTAGATTTTGTGATATAACAGGAAAGAATGCATAAAATGATGTTTTATTAGCAACTTCAGCCTATGTGAAAGGCCAGATATACTGGGGCTGCAAGCTATAAGTTGAAGTGAGCCAGAAGTGAGGCTGACCTCTTGTTCCTACCAGCTAGCATAAGAAAAGTGCTAGATACATGTATGTAGATTTTGTGATATAACAGGAAGGAATACATAAAATGATGTTTTATTAGCAACTTCAGCCTATGTGAAAGACCAGATATACTGGGGCTGCAAGTTATAAGTTGAAGTGGAACCGGAGTAGTACTAAAAACGGAAAAAGAAAAGTAATACTGAAAACAGAAAAAGAGAAGTGTTGTGCTAACCAATACTTTTTTTTTCATCTTTGGTTGTTTGTATTAGGCATTTCTCATAATCTGAAGACCTAAAATTCAGTTTACTCAGTTTCTGCATAAATCTGGCCCCATCTATTTGGATAGCCAAAATTATAAACTGCTGGAATAGCTAGCAACAAGTACTGCCAGATCATCAGTGTAGGAAGACAAGTACCCAGTAGATGGCAGCTGTAGACTAGAGATGGGTGCCTTTGTTGCTGTTCAAATAAGTAAAACAAAGGAGTGAACAATTTAAGTATGACTATAAAGGAGATATTGAGTGCAAAGGACTTGCGTTAAAAGGGAGATAGCCAGTAGATGGCAGCTGTAGACTAGAGATGGGTGCTTTGGTTGCCGTTCAAATAACTAAAACAAAGGAGTGAAAAATTTAAGTATGACTATGAAGGAGATATTGAGTGCAAAGGACTTGTGTTAAAAGGGAGATAGTACAGTGTTTGAGGAAGACTCCAAAAGAAGTTATGGCAGTGGGAGTTAAAATGTCCAGTGTCTGCATCTCTGAGAAAACAACAAACTAATAAATGAAGCAAACATACAACCTGCCCCCCCCAAAAAAAACAAAACAGTTCTCACAAAAGCACAGACGAGGAGACAGGTTGAAACAAGTGCAATGGGAAGCAAATTCAGATTTACACATAATTGCTGAATTTGAATTAGAAATTTAATGTGTTTCACTATAGTGCGGAAGACTGGTGTGACCAGGTGACTTGTGTGCCTGCTCCGTTTCCCGGCCAAAGTCAAAACCCAGTTATCACCCCTAATTGGAGTGAACCTTTTGAATCACCACATACATACATACATACATACATACATACATACATACATACATACTGAATTTTTATGCTGGCTTAATGCAGCTGGCCTGCATTTCAGTGGTGAATCACTGCAGGTTAAGACATTGGTGTAAGCATTTGTGCTTGCAATAGCAAATATCTATGGTAACTTCTTATCCT